GAAAGGTGCTGAACATTCATCAACAAACATCCCCACTTCTGACTTTATGATAGGGGGAAGGTCATTGATGAAGCAGCTGAAGGTGGTTGGGCCGAGGACACCATCCTGAGGAACTCCTGCAGAGATGTCCTGGAGCTGAGATGATTGACCTCCAACAATCACGACCATCTTCCTATGTGTCAGATATGACTCCAACTTGACAAAACATGCACAATGTATTCATTTAGTGCTGTTCGCATGGGAAAACATCCCAAAGCATCACTCAGTAAACTGGGACAGAATGGATGAGCTAGAAGACTTCGTCAGCTCTGATTAGTCTGTCTGATGCTTGAATTGCAAACGGTCAACTTGAACTTGAGACTGCGATTGGGGAGAAGGCTATGGAATGAAGGAGGCCAAGGACAAGCAATTAACCAGACCACAAAGGACCACAGGTATCTCTCTCCATTGGAAGAAAAAAAGAGACGAACAACGGGTTATATACAGTGTCTGAGCAATGCTGGAAACATGGGGCCATATGAGGAGGCTGGTCTCTCTGATATATGGAGACTGAACATATGCGGTTGGCTTAATTCTGCATTTCACTATAGCCATGTAGCCCATTCAGTTAACTGTCCCCTGCCACAACCCTCAAACTCCGAAAGCACGTCCCCCAGTACTCCCAATGTTTATCGGGGTTGTAATAGAGCATGGATTCTATCCCCTCCATTCTCCATTGTGTGGCAATTTTTCCACATCCTTCCACTTTATCAGTGGCAGGGACATCCTGTCAGCTCTGCCACTTCTCCTGGATCCCAACAGCTTCCCCCTCAGCTGTCCAGAATACCGACAAAGCCCCAGGAGTTGACTCGGAAAATAAAAAACAAAATGGATGCTGGAGATCTGAAACAAAAGCAGAAATTGTTGGAAAAAACCCAGCAGGTCTGGCAGCATCTGTGGAGAGAGAAAGTAGAGTTAATGTTTCAGTTCTAAAGAAGGGTTACTGGACCTGAAACTATGCTTTCACTCCGCAGATGCTGCCAGACCTGCTGAGTTTCTCCAGCTATTTCTGCTTTTGTATGCGAGGGAACAACAGTTGGATAGACAAAGGAATGGATAATGGTGAGCCAGAGAGAAAGAAAAGCTGCCAGTGAGGACCATTAGTGGGTGAAAATGGCTGTGATGACAGGGCCTGGGGTTTGGGGACAGGTAAAGGACATGAAAGGTGGCATTCATGGCCTAAAATTTTAATAAAATTATAATAAAATTATTAGAAGCCATCCCTATACTCTACCTGCAGTGCTAATAAAACTGATACTTCTACTCTATAACAAAAACAGAAGTTGCTGGAAAAGCTCAGCGGGTCTGGCAGCATCTGTGAAGAAAATATCAGAGTTAATGTTTCAGGTCTGATGACCCTTCCTCAGAACTGGAAGGGTCACCAGACCTGAAACGTTAACTCTGATTTTTTCTTCATAGATGCTGCCAGACCTGCTGAGCTTTTCCAGCAACTTCTGTTTTTGTTCCTGATTTACAGCACCTGCAGTTCTTTCAGTTTTTATTTCTCCGTTGTATCTCTTCCATTGCCTCCCAGCAACCTTAGTCATACCCAGCAGGTCCCTCCCTATGGTTGCAGCTAAACCACATAACCTTCTCTCACAAAACTGTCAATCAACAGCCTCCTGCCCATAACACCATAAGATATAGGAGCAGAATTAGGCCATTCAGTCCATCGAGTAAAAAGGAGTTTGGCACGCTTGCCTTCATTGCTCAGTCCTTTGAGTATTGGAGTTGGGAAGTCATGTTGAAGTTATACAGGACATTGGTGAGACCTTTTCTGGAGTGCCGTGTGCAGTTCTGGTCACCCAGTTATGGGAAGGATATTATTAAACTGGAGAGGGTTCAGAAGAGATTTACCAGGATGTTGCCAGGTCTGGAAGCTTTGAGTTATAAGGAAAGACTGGATTGGCTGGGATTTTTTTCACTGGAGCTTAGGAGTTTGAGTGGCAACCTTATAGAAGTTTATAAAATAAGGAGGCATATAGATAGAGTTAATGGTAGGAGTCTTTTCCCCAGGATGGGGGATTTCATGACTAGTAGGCATATTTTTAAGATGAGAGGAAAGAGATTTAGATAAGACATGGAGCCAAATTTTTTACACAGGGGGTGGTTCATATGTGGTGTGAATTTCCTAAGGAAGTGGCGGATGTGGGTACAATTACAATGTTTAAAAAACATTTAGATAAGTACACGAATAAGAAAGTTTGGAGGGATATGGACCAGGAGCAGGCAGTGGGACTAGTTTAGTTTAGGATTATGGTCAGCATGGACTGGTTGGACCAAAGAGTCTGTTTCCGTGCTGTATGACTCTATGTGTTTGCTTCGCCACTTGATAATAGCTGACATGTTCCACAAGCCATTCTCCTGCCTTTTCCCCAAAATCTTTGATCCGCTTACTAATCAAGAACCTATCTGTGTTTTAAATACACTCAATGACTTAGCCTTTACAGCCCTCCATGGCAATGGGTTCCACACCAATATGCCCACATCATACCAATGTCCTATCTGGTACATGTTGCTAATCTTTCATCTTCCATTATAAAGGCAGCAGATTGATAGCTTACGGTACAAGGTTGCAAATTTTGGGAAGTTGGAGGACACCAGTGATGCTAAATGGACTGGTAGCTAATTTTCACCATGCCTAATCTCATTGAACAATGGTTAGGAACTTACAGAGATTCTGTTGAAAGTAGCAGAATGGATAGGTAAGATGATTAAGATGACATACGGGATATTTGTTTTTATTAACGAAGGCACTGGATGCAAAAGCGAGGAGGTTATGATGGAGCTCTGCAAGTCATTAGTTAAGACACAGCTGGGGTACTGTATGCAGTTCTGGTTGCCACAATATAGGAAGGACATGATAGAGTAGAGAGTACTCAGTAGAGAGAGTGGAGAAGAGATTCACCAAGATGTTGCCTGGACTGGAGCGATTCTGCTATGAAGAGAGTTTGGATAGGCTGGGGTTGTGTTCCTTAGAGCAGAGAATGCTGAGAGGGAGACCTGATTGGCATGTATAAAATTATAAGGGGTGTAGATAGGAAGAAACTTTTTCCCTTAGTACAGGATCAATAACTAGGGGGCACAGATTTAAGGCAAAGGAGCAGGAAGTTTCGATGGGATTTAAAGAAAAATTATTTTCACTCAGAGGGTAGTATCTGAAACTCACAGCATGGTAGAGGCGGGAACAATCATAACATTTAAGAAGTATTCAGATGAACACTTGAAGTGTCATTCAAAAGCTATGGGACAAGTGCTAGAAAATGGGACAGTTACAGACACAAAGGGGCCAAAGGACTTGTCTACTCTGTAAAACTCCACAATTCGTTCTTTAGTCTTTTGGTTCCATCTGCTTGGTCAAAATGATTTGACAATATTTTTCCAAGTCAGTGGGAAATAAAAACTCTTTGTGGTGGAAAAACTGCCACCAACTCCCGTACAAGGTCGTCACACATTGTAGGTATTATTCTTAGCTGTATTTAACAGAGTGGGACTTTCAAATCCCCAAGCGCTCAACAACGTGGTGAGAAATCGCATGTGACTGATACTTCTCGGTAAGTACCTGTTTTCTGAAAAGCCCCTTTTAACTGCAGCACTTTCATAGTGAGGATTATAATTTAAGGCCTTTTGGGGGGGGTGCAGTTTGGTGACTAATCCATTTGAGAAAGGGGTCCTTCAGTAAGAATGTAAGAATCACCGAACTAGAACTCCCTTTGAGTCCTCTCCAGCAATGTGTGCACAAAACAAAGCCACAATAGTTTCTGTTACAAACATGAATTCACAATTGAGAAAACCATTAAATTTACTTGCTTCCCTTTTAACAGATGAATCTTTATTTCCAACCGAAAAGATACACGTCAAAATGAAAAAGTACTGTGTGTCAAGAATACTTTCATAATTATTATAATAAAACAGACAGGCAGTCAGTGGTATATTTTACACAGATCCTGAAGCAGAAGTAAATGGCCCAGATAAAGCCAAATATTTGGCCATGTACTACACACAGAGTACATTCAGCCCAGTGAGACCACACAGATCCTCTGAACAGCATCCCACCCAGACCCAACCCCTTACCCTATCCTGTAACCTCGCACTTCCCCTGGCTAATCCACCTCGCCTGCACATCCCTGAACTGTGGGAGAAAACCGGAACACCCGGAGGAAACCCACGTAGACATGGGTGCGACACAGACACAGTCGCCCGAAGATGGAATCGAACCCAGGTCACTGGCACTATGAGGCAGCAGTGCTAACAACTGAGCCACCATGCCGCCCAAATGTGCAATGACAGACAGGTATAGCATCTCATGGCCATCCAGACTGTTTTTTACAGTCTTCATACCTTGCATATATCGCAATTCACATGGAGAAAAGGTGGCATAGTGGTGAAGTCATTAGCTTAGTAATGCAGAGGCCTTGATTGATACTCTGGGGTTTAAATCCTACCCCGGCAGCCGGTGAGATTTAAATTCATTTAATAAATATGGAATTGAAAGTGACGGTCACAAAATTCTGGTTGTCTGGTGCCCTTACCTGTACTGGCCTATGTTAGATCCTAGATCCACAGCAATGTGTTGACTCTTAACTGCCCTCTGAAATGGCCCTAGCAAGCCACTCAGGCCAAGAGAAATTAGGGACAAGGAACAAATGCTGAACTTGTCAGCATCACAAAGAATAAAACAAAACCTGTTCCCCAGCCCAAATGATCTCCTGAGGAAAGCCCTAAAAAAGCCCAGGCCAATGCAGGAGGTTAGGGAAATTCCTGTTCCATGTACATGTTGAAACTGATTGCCCTGCAGTACCTATCCTTTCTGTATACTCAGGTCATTAAGAAGTACTGGGAGGGATTGCATGATAAACAGAAGGTAGAGATGGACAGACAAAGGGAAAACGTTGCTACAGGAGTCAAACACCGAATTGCATGAGCTATCTGGACCATCAGAGACCATCCATTACACCTACCTTAGCCATCTGCTTGTTGGTGTTGCCTTTAGCACCAAGGAACACCATAGCCAGAGCTGTTGATATACTTAATGGAGAAAAGAAAATATTCTCAGTTCTTGTCTCTTCACAGAGCTTCAGGTAGAGGTCAAGCGCAAAGCAATTATTTGCATCAGTCAGAATATCCATCACTAGAAAGGAAGAGAAAATAATAATAATTTATATCAAACTGGTCAGCACATCTATGCTCACTCAAACTAGGAGCTGGATTTTACAGCAGCCCAATGACGGTGATGGAGGTAGGGCAGGGCTCTACGAAATACCATCTGTGGCGTTCCCAAGACCTTTCCACCCACCCCCAAACTATTTCTCACTTTACGGTGGGTGGAAGTGATGTCAGGGAGCCTGCCCATGGTTCAGAGGCTTCAGTCCACTTCAGTTTGACCCGGGCCGGAGCAGAGAGGTAGCATGGCAGCTTTCGTTGTGTGGGCATCTGTCAGGGTAAGAAGGGGAGGCTGAACTCCTTTGGAGGTTGGGGGTGGTCATCACCTGTACCCATTGGGTTCTCCCCACCAACTCCCTGCTACGCCAATCATACACTCTCACTCTCCCACAATCCCCTAGGGGTGCCATCAGGACATGGTCAGCAAGGCAAGCAATCTAAAACTAGTGTCTATGGCTGCCCATCAAGTTAGAATAGATTGCCAACCACTCACCCTTCCTTAACATTAACATGGCCCATGTCCTAATTTCAGTGCAGGTGGGTACCATGGGCACATCACCCTTTTCATGCCCCAAAGCGCCAACAGAACTAGAGCTCGCTTGCACCTTAAAATCCTGATTTCAAAGTGGAAAGGAATACGAGCAGGAGGAAGACTGTACGGCACATCAAACTTACAGCATAGAAAGAATAGTGCTGTCGAAGACTGTTAGCATTTGAAAGGGTTAATTGACGTCACAAGATGAGCCATAAGACCATAAGATATAGGAGCAGGAATTAGGCCATTCAGCCCATCGAGTCTGCTCTGCCATTCAATCATGGCTGATAAGTTCCTCAACCCCATTCTCCTGCTTTCTCCCCGTAACCCTTGATCTCCTTGATAATCAAGAACCTATCTATCTCCGTCTTGATTATACTCAATGACCTGGCCTCCACAGCCTTCTGTGGCAGTGAATTCCATAGATTCACCACTCTCTGGCTGAAGAAGTTTCTCCTTATCTCCGTTCTAAAAAGTCTTCCCTTTACTCTAAGGCTGTGCCATCGGATCCTAGACTCTCCTACCAATGGAAGCATTTTCCCAACATTTTGTCCAGGCCATTCAGTATTCTGTAAGTTTCAATTAGATCCCGTCTCATCCTTCTAAACTCCAATGAGTATAGTCCCAGTGTCCTCAAACATTCCTCATGTGTTAAGCTTTCCATTCCTGGGACCATTCTCGTGAGCCTCCTCTGAACCCTCTCCAGGGCCAGTACATCTTTCCTGAGATATGGGGCCCAAAACTGCACACAATACTCCAAATGTGGCCTGACCAGAGCCTTATAAAGCCTCAGAAGTACATTCCTGCTTTTATATTCAATTCCTCTGAAAATAAATGCCAACATTGCATTTGCCTTCCTGACTACTGACTGAACATGCAAGTTTACCTTGACAAAATCCTGGACTAGAACTCCCAAGTCTCTTTGCACTTCAAACTTCTGAATTTTCTCCCCATTTCGAAAATAATCCATGCTTTTATTCTTCTTACCAAAGTGCATGACCTCACACTTTCCCACGTTGTACTCCATCTGCCACTTCTTTGCCCACTCTCCTAACCTGTCCAAATCCTTCTGAAGCCTTGTCACCTCCTCAATACTACCTGTCCCTCCCCCTATCTTTATATAGTCTGCAAACTTAGCCAGAATACCCACAATTCCTTCATCTAGATCATTAATATACGAAGTGAAAAGTTGTGGTCCCAGCACTGACCCTTGTGAAACACCACTTGTCACCAGCTGCCATCCTGAGAAAGACCCCTTTATCACCGCTCATCCTCGGAGGAATAAACTGGTTCTAAGTCTTACATGAGTTGTAGGTGTGTTCACCAGAATGTGTATAAGCATCAGTGACTATTCTGAGTGTTTAATGCATGTGACTAAAGTCATACTCTTAAATTGAATCTGACATCCTGCAAGAAAACACCACATATCTCAGGTGTACTGTAACTAGTGATTTATTAATATGACATACACCTATTTCCTGTTCATCGACTTATGTTCTGGCTAAAACATTGTATGGGTATCCTTCCTCACATGGTCACCTAGACTCTCGCCAACAAGAAGGATTGATGGCAGTGAATCTATACAAGACACTATAAAGATGACAGCACTTGGACCTAACATTGTAAAAAATAGCAAATCATTTTGGTTAACAAGCGAAACCGTGTTTGCAGGTTAAGACTTATCAAAGAAGTCTACAGATAATTATATGGTTATGCAACCTCAAGTGGTTTCTCCATGTCAGTTCATCACATTGCCCACATAACTGTGTCATTGCTTTAGCTGAGGAGGGTCAGCAACAACTCTGGTCACAACTGATAAGTTCCCATCCACAGATGCTTTCGCTCAAGGTTGGATGCTTTTTTTTAAGGTAGCAGATCGTTTCATTCTGAAACCTGCCTCTCCGTTGACTCAGCTCTGAAAATGCTTCCTCACGGCCATAACAAGGCACTTGTGCGACAATGTGTAGATTCAGTTGGTGGGATTTTGGTAACAATCGGGATGCGCTGCCTCTTGAACTGCCTTTTGGCAAGTCCAGTGCTCCTAAAGTCCTCGCCATACTATTTCCGAGCACGAAACCACTGAACCCCAGTTGGGTGGGACTGCCTGCCTGGGCCATTTTTATCTGTTCCCACTGATTCACACTCGCAAACCCTAGTGGCACCATTGGATTTGCCAACTCAGCGCGGCTTACACTGAGTGGCATCTCTTTATACATCCAGCGTTTCCCAAATAGAAACTCATTGCATTCAGGACACTCGTGGTGTTTTGGACAAAGGAAACTGTGTTAAATAATGGACAAAGAGGCTTATTTTCGTAGCAACAAAAATGGATGAATAATTGTTAAAATGTTGTAGTTTCTGAACTTCGCCCTTTCAGTGAGTCCCTGCTAAAGCTGGTTGTTATAATACAGGATGCCCAACTCACTTCAGCATTCAGCAAAAAGCACTTCCCATAACATAAGGTCACCCTGTCACCAAATTGGGAGCTGCTCAATGACTCGAGGCAGGTTCACCATGGCCTCCTCCTGTGCTGCTAACCCTGCATCCCTGAGCTCTCAGAGCCGATTAAATAGGATGGATGTCCTAAAACCCCTAAAAGATACTGGTCCCTCTCAAAAGAGGAGTAGGACTAAGCTATCCTCTGTCAATGATGGCATCATGAGTGATATAGCTGTGGAGATTGTGTAGAACTACCACAAAGTATCTGCTGTAGGCTTTTCCTTAAGATACCACAACACTCCTTTCTGCAGCTACTGTAGCCTTGCTTGAAGAATTATCCAGTGCAATAGTGGACTCTGTTCACCATCCTCAACAACAAATTGGGAGCTCAACTCATAAACTCCTGGAGCTCCAACCATTTGAGGTCTAATCACTTTGTGTCACAGCAAATGTACAAATGCTAATCCCCAGTGTGTCACTATTTTCAAAAGTAACTCACACAACCAGATGGGGAAATCAGTTTGGGAAACTTGGACTGTACATCATAATTTTTTATTTTGATTTCAAGCCACAGGTTACTCACAAGAATAAATGCTAAGGTTCTAGCATTTCAGAAAATAAAGATATCTTTCAAAAACAAGATCTGGACAACATCCAAGCTTGGGCTGATAAGTGGCAAGTAACATTTGCACCACACACACACCAGGCAACGACCGTTAATAAGAGACAATCTAACCGCTGCCCCTTGCCATTCAATGTGTTGACCATCACTGAATTCCCCCAATATCAACATCCTAGAGGTTACCATTGACCAAAAATTCAATTGGATTTTCCACATAAACACAGCAGCTACAACAGCAGGTCAGAAGCTAGGAATACTGCAGCGAGTAAATCACCTCTTGACTCCTTAATGCCTGTCCATCACCTACAAGGCACAAGTCAGGAGTGTGATGGAATACTCCCCACTTGCCTGGATGGGTGCAGCTCCAACAACACTCAAGCAGCTTGACACCACTCAGCTTGCTTCATTGGCACCACATGCACAAATATCCATTCCCTCCACCACCGATAATCAGCAATGTGTACTTTCTACAAGATACACTGCAGAAATTCAACAAGAATCCTTGGACAGCACCTTCCAAGCCCATGACCACTTCCAGCTAGAAGGACAAGGGCAGGAGATCCATGGGAACACTGGTACCTGCATGTTCCCCTCCAATCCACTCACCACCCTGACTTGGAAATATAATCGCTGTTGCTTCACTATTGCTGGAGCAATTTCTTCCCCAACAGCACTGTGTGTCAAACCACAGCAGGTGGACTGCAGCAGTTCAAGAAGGCAGCTCACCACCACCTTCTCAAGGGCAACTAGGGATGGGCAATAAATGTTGGCCCAGCCAGCAACGCCCACATTCCACAAATGAATTAAAAAAAAACAATTATCAGTTCACCAGGGCGTGCAATGCTTCATGCGGTTGAAGGCAAAAAATAAAATGCTGCCAGGCATTCAAATGAAAAGATAAGCCTTCACGAAATCACATCAAAAACAACAAGGAAACAGAGAAATCGTACAGCAATCTTGGTCTAATACTTCAAAGGCAAATGGAAATCATTTGGGGAAACCAGATCAGATCTACACTAAAGCATGACTGGTTTAAAAATTAAAAATGGAGTGAGGTCAATGTACAGTCTGGAAAAATGAGATAGGAGGACAGGTTGTGGGTGAAGGGATCCATCTGTTTTCATCTCAAGGGAAACCGAGTGACACACACAACAAACTTCCAACTGTCCATCTATAGTGCCGAGCAAAGGTGGGTGACTAGGCTGAAACAACAGACAACATTGCGATGGGACTGTCATGGAATTCGATGGAGCATGATGCTGTACTCCTGAGAAACCAACATCCACCAGAAGAATCAAGTGTCTTTTTTGTCTGGGGTGATTGCTCTGCTGTCTTGACAATGATTCTAATGCTTGATGCTGTCTTCATGCTT